GGGCACCCAGGGTGTGGCCTTGGGCTGCTGGCAGCCACCCTGGAGCTCCGTCAGGTGTCCTCGTGCAGGGGTTCGGACCGAAGAGTTCATGCTGAAAGCATGTGCAGTTCTCAACACAGAGGGCTTCCCTTTCTTCGCCTTTGACCCAGGCTGGTGGCCTCCATATGGGAAGGGGCCGGGGGTCTCAAGGGAATTGATTCCAGACCTTCGACCTCCTTCTGCGATCCACTCCCCACCCTGTCTACCTCCTCTGGCTCCCCTGGTCCCCCTTTCGTGATTGCTCTTCTCCCACTTGGCCAAAAACGATGAAGTCCTAACCCATCTCTGATCCCACTGGATGGAAAAAATAGTGGGCCGCCGACAAAGGGAGCTGAAGTGTGGGCGCTGGCGATGAGGAAGTGAGCGGCTCTAAGATAACAAATCACTTTGCGAGGCAGGTGGTTTCTAGCTTTTATTTTTGACAGAATCTTACAAATTAAAAAATAATTCAATGCTAGATTACTTTGTGATGGTTGGCATCTAACTTAGACACAGTGAAAGCATTGAGTGGCATCACTATTAAAAAATTCCTTCTAGCCCCATCCCATCCATGCGCACATCTATAAAAAGGAACAAACAGGATGCTAATATTTTGTTTTAGCAGGAAGTAATATCCATCCATTGATACATTAACTAAATGAGGGGTGGATCTAAATATTAAGAGATGCATTTTCTATAAAATTTAGTTTTTTATGGCTAATAATTATTTATCATTAAGAGATACCTTTCCTATAAACTTTAACTATTGTGGTTAATAATTATTTATCAAAATTGTAATACCCATGTTATTTTAATTTGTTGCTAATAATAATTGTAATACTTGTAACATACTCTAAGGAAAAAAATTTATTTTTCTTTATTGATTTTAGAGAGAGAGAAAGGGAGAGGGAGAGAGTAGAAACACTGATGAGAGAGAACACTGACTGGCTGCCTCTTGCATGCCCCCCACTGGGGATCGGGCCCACAACCTGGGCATGTGCCCTGACCAGGAATCAAACTGGCGACCTCTTGGTGCATGGGTCGATGCTCAGCCACTGAGCCACACCAGCTGGGCAGGGAAAATTTTTTATCAGAGCCTTATGGCCACAGGAAATGGTAAAGTTTTCATATTTGAATTTCTATACATTTTTGTTTCAAAGCATGATAGGATGAGTACCATAAGACTTAAAAGCATGAACATATATCAGGATATTACTAGATGGAGGAAACAGAATAAGAGTTCAAGAAGAAGAGGGAACGATGTAAAATCATTAACCGTTGAAGAATGGCTTACTCAGATAGTTTAAAAATAGGCAGTGGTTGTACACTATAGGGGAGGCACATTTTTACCTCCACTTACTTAGGCTTTTCGGCTGGCCTAAAAACTGCCAGGAGACAGATTAACGAGGAAATGCATACTCATTTACATCGTGTCACGTGACGAGGAAGTCCTCATAAGGGAAGAAGACCCAAAGAAATGGTGGAACCTAAGTGCCTTCACAGCAGGTGGAACACACAGAGGCTATGGCGGAAAAGTAACTTAACTATCTGGGAGGCTAAAGGCAGACAAGAACTTTTTTTTTTTTTAATTATTTTTATCCTCACCCAAGGACATTTTTGCATTTATCTTCAGATAGAGGGGGAAAAAGAGAGGGAGGAAGAGAGAGAGAGAAACGTCTATGTGAGAGAGACACAGCGACTGACTGCCACCCACACAACCCCAACCGGGGCCGGGGACAAACTGCAACCGAGGTACGTGCCCCCAGCGTGTACCGAACCCAGGACTCTCTGGTCCACAGGCCGACACTCCAACCGCTGAGCCAAACTGGCCAGGGTGACAAGAACTATTTTAACAAGGTCCGTTGGTACAGAATTCTCTCCATCTCCACTTCTCGTCAATGATGCTTTCCTTCTGGCATAAGGAGACCATCTTTCACGTGGGAATTTTACCTTCTGCTTTTAAGAAAAAGGAAGGAAGATCAGAGTGTTTTTCTTGTATTTGCTGTTTTTCAAACTAATCCGTATGCCAAAGTGGCATATTTTGGGGCGGCACATTCTGCCACCCTTCAGCACCCACATCCACAGCAGCATTAACAGGAGCTAAAATGTGGGAGCACGCTGTTGGCGGGTGAATGGAGAGGCAAAATGTGGTCAGTATGCAGAGTGGCACATTATCCAGCCTGGAACAGGAAGGCAGTTCTGACAGCTGCTACAACACAATGAACCTTGAGGACATCATGCTAAGTGAAATAAACCAGTACTGTTTGATTCCACTTATGTGAGATACTTAGAGTAATCAAAATCATAGAGACAGAAAGTAGAATGGTGGTTTCCAGGGACGGGGGTGAGGGAAACGGGGAGTTATTGTTAAATGGGTATAGTTTCAGTTTGACAAGATGAAAAGACTTATGGAGATGGATGGTACGTGATGAATGCGTAACATTATGAATGTATTTAATACCGCCGAACGGTTCTTAAAAATCGTTAAGATGGTAAAATTTGGGTTGTGTGTATTTTACCACAATAAAAATTTTTGAAAGAACAAAACAAAACAAAAAACAAAGCGCAGTGGTGGATATTATCGAAGTTCCATCCCACCGGGTTCATTGCAAAGGATGATGTAACCGTTTTCTTTGAAAATGTCAGTATTTAAAATATGACATTGAATATAAAATAGGAATCACATCCTGCTCCATTAGACTTTTGATGAAACGTTTTAGAAAACAACTTACAAATGTGTGAAGACTGCTGATGCCTCTTCTAAAGACCCTTCCGGCAAACCAGGGCCAGCGAGCTGCCTCCCCCGGGTAATGCTGGCCCAGGGCTTGGTTTTATACGGCCTGCAAACCGAGAATGGCTTTTTTCTATGTTTAAATGGTTGGAAAAAAAGGGAAAAGATGATTATGTTGTGACACATAAAAATGATATGCAATTCAAATTTTAGCATCCATAAATAGAGTTTGATTGGAACACAGCCACACTTAATCGGTGCATTTTGTCTATGGCAGTGTTCACAGTTTCAGGCAGCGTGGAGTAGTTTTGACAGAGACCGGATGGCCAGCAAATTCTGAAGTACTTACCAGCTGGCCATCTACAGAAATGTTTAGCCCTAGACCCCAGACTCCGGAAAGCTGCCTCGTGGCTCTGGCTGTACTCCTAACCATGGATAAACCACTTCACCTCTCCCATCCAAAAAATCGTGTGGTGGTGGGAATTGTTTACTTCCCATTGGCCTGGTTGCAGGCTGCTCACAGGTGTAACATATCAAATCTTGTGTCATTGTGATGGTTTTCTTTTTCTAAAGACCAAGGTGGTATGCATTCTCACAAATGGTGATGTTGTATTAAAATAAGACATTTTTTTTTTTCTATTTTTAAAAAAACAAAACACCTTTAAAAAAAATTGTGTTGCTTGGACAAAGTGGTCCCTAAATTTTCTTCCAGCTTAGAAAACATGGATGTCCTGGGCACAGTTCATACTCGGGTGTTAATGGCTGATACCTGCTTGGAGTACCTGCCTTTAAAAGGGACCCCTGAAGAGCCTACTCCCTCACTGAGACAGATGAAACGCCAGCAGACAGCAGGAGTGCACGGGGATGATTTTGTTGAGTCCCAGCATCGTGCGATTTCTGTGTTTGTGGTGAACAGACGGAGGTTTGTACAAATCAATCTGTCCAGTTACAAACACCCACTGACTTCCCCGGAGGCCAGTCCTGGTTTATTCCAAGCCCACAAGCTTCCTGGGTCCTGTAAATGCCTCAGGGTAGACCAGGCACAGAGCAGACCAGAAATAGCACCGTGCTTAAGCCAGCCCACCCCAGTGCCAGGCTAGGTCGCTGGATGGGTGCAGCAAGACTGCTTTTCTTCTCTTCTTGTGAGGGGCTGGCAGGGAGCCATGGAGATGCCACCCAAGTTACAGGCAGACCAGGGACAGGCTACCCCCCAGGCCCTGATGTTCCAAGGCCCCTGGAAGGGTACAGTGCCACCTCCCATCTACTTCAGTGGCTGTGCACTGCGGGGGTGGCAACCCAGGGCCAACAGGGTCCCTGGCTGGGGGAGAAGCAGCCCTGGGCCATCGCAGAGGGGCTGCCTTGCTCCAGCCCCAGCTGACTGTAGACCATAATTGAGGTTCCAGACCTGGGGTGCCAAAACTTGCAATTTTTCCAAAAAGCCAGAAAGGTGGAATTGTATGTGAAATCTGATTCTCAAATGTTAGCAGTTTATTTTTTTTTAATGTAAAAACCAGCAAGCTGACCTCTAACAGCGCAAAGGTAGATTACATTTGGGCTCCAGGCTACCGGTTTGAGACCTGTGGGAAGGAAGAGCCTCACTCTGGGCTCAGAGGTCGGACTGGTGTCTCACTCCGGCACTGACAGTGTGGGGCCTGAGGGCCTATCCTGGGAGCCCAATGAGCATTGACATTTTTCACCTCCAAAGCGGGGTGTGTGTGTGCAACAGTCCGCGCCAATGTCCCTCCGTTCTTGGCTTGGGAACTTGGCTGTGTTTTCCAGCGACAAGAAAAGGGAGGTTGGGGTCTGAGATTCTGCCCACTGCTCCTTGTCTGGCTGCTTGTGGAAGGGAGCGCTAGACTTGCCTGGGGAAGGTGCCCGGGCAACCTCACTGTGCCCGTGTAGGTGTTGCCAGAGGCCTGTCTGTGGCCCCTCCACCCACCCAAGGAAGCCTCTCAGACTGAAGATGGTCTAGATCCCACTGACGGAGGCCTGGGGAGGGGGCGGGGGCTCGATGGCGCTGATAACTTTGTCGCACTGGGACGCGTTCGGTGTTCGCGTGGGCGTTTCCCCTGGTCCGGCGCCGGTCACGTGCGTGACCGCAGAGCCCAGGGCTTGGCCTCCATGATGCGGGTTTGAGTTCCACGTTGCTGCTGGTCACCTGCTGTTCCCCAAGCTTCTGTTTCTCCACCGCAGGAAGGAGGTCATGGCAGCCACGCAGGACCGAAGGCGGCAGGCAGGTGCCAGCCGGGCACAGAGCCGCACCGCGAGGAGGGGCTTGGAGCTGGAGGGGTACATACGGCACGAGGAATGAGAACAGAAGGAACGGGTGAGGAAGGCCATTCTTTACCTCTGCTTTGGGAACTAGTATGATGCCCACTAGGTGCCCCGAAGGCTTTCCCACTGTGTTTCCCACTCTGTGCCTGCGGGGGAGAGGGGGGGCAGGCAGAAGCTGGGGCTCCCACAGCACGGGGTTAGCAAAGAACAGCACGGGGAGGTGACTGGGACCTTCACAAAACCGGGGCCTGGCCTACTGGGGGCAGGATGGGGCATCTGCTGGGGCACAGAGAGCAGGGGAGGAGCGAGGCTGAGCCTTTTCATTGCTTTAAATTGGGGCAGACATGAGGGATGACAGTAACAACCATTTACAACTTAAAAAAAAAACACCTTTTTGGAACACAGATGTTCAGGTTGCAGCATAATCTATTTATAGAAACACACGTCAAAGGAAGGAGCAAGACTACTTCTCAAACAGACAAAATTAAACTGAAGACCTTCCGACGCTGGGTAAAAGCTGCAGAATCTGGTTCTCCAAGGACACGTGCCTTCTGCACCTGCCTCTCTAGCTGGCCTGGGTCTCTTCCTCCACCGTCCCCTGCGACGGGGAAGCAGGCCAATTCAAGGGTTTTCCTGAGCGCTCCCCAGAGCGAGGGGGCCAGATGGTCTCCACCTTGCCTCCACTGCATGAGATCAGTGAGACCTGCCCTTTTCTCTGCAGCCGGCCCCTTGTGTTTCCACTCCGCCGCAGAATGCCCTGCGCAGTAACAAAGTAACGGCACACGCCGGGCCTAGGCAGGTGGGCGGGGGGCGGCGGAGCGCTAACGCTCCTTCATCCGCCGACGTGGGTGACTCAGACTCTGCGCCCAGGGATGTCTAGAGGTGTCTGTGCAGGAGGAACAAAAGGGCCAGAAGCTTGAAAGACGCTGGGACCAAAGCTGAAAACTGCTCCTCCCTCCCTCCCTCAGAATATATCAGTTGTATTGTTTTTCTGAGGAACATTCTGTTAGAATCGGGGGAGAGGTAAGGACAGAAAAACAACAAGTTTAGGCCTTGCCCTTGAGGAACTTATAAACTTGAAGAAACTATGAAAAATGTAAGAAGGAAAAATAATAGATAGACTCGAAGATTGAATGGTGGATGGTGGGAGCAGGTGTCTCGGTGCCGTGGTGGGAGGTTAGGGACAAACAAGGGAAGGCTGGAATGATCCCCTGGTACTGGCTTCCGGGCAGAGGCATGACTGTGGACTGATGGTCACCCCAATATACATACAAGTGGCTACGAGTGGAGATTTTTATGGATTTGTAAGTATACACAGGTTATTTACACACACGCACACACACACACACACAATGTGGGTCTGTGAAACACAGGAGCCCATGGGAGGAGCTCCCAATGACCAAACTGCACAAAATAACCTAAAATAAACCCCACAACCCATAGTGACATCAGTAAATCACTGAAGAAAAAACAGAGGAAAACAGACAGTTCTCCCGAGCAGGAAAGTTCCAGAAGTTTATGTAGGTACTCTGTCCTCGACGCACTGGAGTGTCGGGTGTACACGGAGACTTCCTCCGAGCGAGGATGAAGAGTAACTGCGGTGGAGAGACCTGAGAGATGTTGCCTCCACCAGTGACCGAGGTCAACATCAGCAGGGAAAGGCCATGTTGAAAGATGTACCGTAGATGGGAGGGGGTGAGAATGGCCCTTTACCTCTGTGGGCTTCCTCTCCCAAACCATAACCCCTGTCTGAGGACGAGAAAAACATCAGACAAATTGCAGCTGAGGGTCACTTTACAAGATGCCCGGTCAGCTCTGCTCCAGACTGTCGTGGCCATCAGAAACCACGGAAGTCTGAGAAACTCAGCCGAAAGGGCCCACGGAGACACGATGATTCAGTGTCATGTGGTGATCGGGATGGGATCTGGGAGCAGGAAAAGGATGTTAGGTAAACGTAAAGGGATCTGAATAGTATATAGACTTTAGTTAATATAATGTCCCCACAGCAGCTTGTTATTGTGGTACATTTGCCATTACCAGTGTGAGGTGTTAATAATGGGGAAACCAAGTGTGAGGTGTAGGAGAACTTTGTACTACCTGTGTCATTGTTCTGCAAATCTAAAACTGTTCTAAAAGGAAAAGTTAATTTAAAAAAGTGAAAAATGCCACAAGGGAAATGGGGAGGAAGCCTCGCTTGCAGAGGAACCGGGAGAGGATGACGAGGGTCCAGCAGGAATCAGAACAGACACCTGAAGACTAGGCGGCTGGGGCGGCTCCGTCTTCCTGGGGGTGCTGGTCCCACACCTCGCTTCTCACACACTGACCACGTTCTCTTGTCTTCACCAGCTCTGGGCTGCCCCTGCTGTGTGCCTGCTCCCGGGGCACCTGCTGGCCCCAAGGTTGTCACCTCTGCACTCCAGGGACCCCAGGAATGTTGGGATTCGGAGAAGCGAGCTCTATCTGGACACTCGTCCATCCCTGTCCCACCCATAACTGTCTCTGCCTGGCTGTGAGCCTCCTCGGGCAGGGACCATGTCCTCTCTTGGTGCCAGCACTCCATAATGGGCCTGGCTCTGAGGTGCCCATTCAGCAGTCGTGAAATGCATGTCGCTGAGCTGGTAACCACAGGACAGGAGCTACATATCATTGGATCACCAGCCACTGGTGAGAAAGCGATGCCCTGTCAATTCTGTGCCAGTCTTTCTCATGGCACCGCGAATGGCTCAGGCTGGAGTGAAGACGGCTAAACACAGCCCCCCCTCCTTGTCCATCCCCACCTCTAACCAACACAGGCAGGTCTTGGGCTCAAACTTAGCAACCAATGTATCCAGAAAGAGTAATGTCATTGTTTTAATTTAATTTATTTTAAAAAATTTTTTTCTTTATTGATTTTAGAGAGAGAGGAAGGGAGAGGGAGAGAAACAGATAGAAACATCAATGAGAAAGAACGTTGATTGGCCGCCCCCTGCATGCCCCCCACTGGGGATCGGGTCCACAACCTGGGCATGTGCCCTGACCGGGAATTGGACCGTTGACCTCTTGGTGCATGGGTCGATGCTCAACCACTGAGCCACACCGGCTGGGCAGCACTGCTTCAATTTAGAATTACCTTTGCCCTGGCTGGTTTGGCTCAGCGGTTAGAGCGACGACCCATGGACCAAAGAGTCTCAGGTTTGATTCCGGTCAAGGTCGCGTGCCTCAGTTGGGGTGCTGTCCCCAACCCTGGTCAGAGTCATGTGGGAGGCAACCAATCGATGTCTCTCTCTCTCTCTCTTTCCCATTCTAGCTGAAGATAAGTGGAAGAATATTCTCAGGTGAAGATTTAAAAATAAATAAATAAAAATAGAATTACCTTTAATTGGTAGTAAGTGATGCTGTTATGACAACATAAAGTTTCTCTCAAATGTGTTTTATTTTATTTTAAAAAAATTTTTTCTTTATTGAATTTTAGAGAGGAACAAAGAGGGAGAGAGAGAGAGAGACATTGATGACAGAGAACATTGATTGCTGCCTCCTGTATGCCCCCCACTGGGGATTGGGCCCATTACCTGGGCATGTGCCCTGACCGGGAATCGAACCCATAACCTCTTGGTGCGATGGGTCGACACTCAATCACTGAGCCACACTGGCCGGGCTAAATGTGTTTTAAAACAATTTCAGACTTAGAGAAAAATTGGAAGAATAATGCAAAGGATTCCTGAATACTCTTCATCCAGCTTCTCCTAGTGTTAACATTTTATTGCTTTATAGTCTCTCTCCCTCTCTGTCTCTCAGCTTCCTTCCCTTCCTCCCAACCTCCTTCCCTCCCTCCCTGTCTCTCTCCCTCTCTCTGTCTCCCCCCCACCATCTCTCTCTTCTACCTACCACACCCCACACACACACAGATTATCTTTTTCCAAACTATTTAAAGATAAGTTGCCCCACCCTGACCGGTTTGGCTCAGCGGTTGGAGCGTCGGCCTGCAGACCAGAGAGTCCCGGGTTCGGTTCCTGCTAGGGGCACGTACCAAAAAAAAAAAAAAAGATAGGTTGCCCCTGTACGTCTGACACTAATACAGAAGAATATGGACTGTAAATGTAATTGAAAAATAAAACAAGAGGTTGCCCCTTCACTCCTGAACACATCCATGCCTCAGTGTGCATGTCCTAACAGCATGAAATGTCCTTACACAGCTGCAGTGCACTTATCAGGACCAGGGGGTCACCACAGACACGGCACCGGCATCGGATCTGCGGCTCGTGTCCGCTCACCATCTGTCCCCAGGTCCTTCAGAGAAAAGAGACCCGGGGTGCACCTGCCACGTCTCTTAGGTTCCCTTCATCTGGAACCGTTCCTGAGCCTGCGTGTCCGTGACGTCAGCATTTGGAAAAGCACATTGAGGTATTTTGTAAAATGGCTGAAGTTTCCTTTTGCAATAAATTTAACTTTCGAAAAACGTGAATCCATTGAAAGAAAAACCGTTAAGCGGGCAAGAGGACCAAGGGCCCACAGGAAAAACAAACGCTGAGGTTTGGAGCCAGTGGGCACAGACAGTGGTGTGGGGAAGGCAGGAGGGGTGGGAGCAGGGAGGAGAGGGCAAGGGGGGCAAAAGGCGGGGCTTCTGTCATACGTTCAACAATAAAGATAAAACAAACAAACAAAAACCGGAGGTTTGGGAATATTGGTTTAAATGGACTGTATTCTGTCCCTGAATGGCCGTCACCCCATGCTCCAAGGGGTTCCCACAGCTGGAGGTGCAGGGTGACCTGGACGCCTGTGCGCCTCCCGCACCTGGAGGCTGGAGTGTCGTGGGCCTGGGAAAGGGAGCCCAGCAGGGGCACCTGCTCTCAGCCAGGGTGGGGCTGGGTCCTCTTGGGGAGGCTGTCTCCCATCCCCCCTTGGCCGCCGTCCCCCTTCGGGCTGTCCAGCCCCCTGCCCATCTCCTTCCTCTCCTCCTTCCTGCCTGCTCTCTGGGCTCCTGTGTCTGCTCCCAGGGTCCTAGCTGGGTGTCCTTGAACGAGTTCGTGACATCTCTGGGCTTCACTTTTTCACCTGGAAGACAACAGAGAGCAGGAGGCCTCACTGCCCTGAGGGTCTGAGGATTAAGCGAGCCGCACATGTCAGGAAGGGACCAAGGCAGCCTTGTGGGGCCCACTGTCTCCCCAGTGTCTGCGCAGACACGCGGGGCCTCCGCTCCTCCTCTCTGTCTCCTTCTTCTCTCTCTCCTCTCCCTTTGACTCTTTCTTCTTTGCCTTCCTCTGTTGCTATTTTGGTCCTTCCTCGATGATGTTGGTGAGGGGTGAGCCTCTTTTCATGTCAGGATGCCAGAACCCCGTCAAGCTGGTAAACAGCTGAAGGATGTGGTGGGAGATGAACTTTCCACTGAGGCGACTTTGAACTCGTCCTCCCTGATGGGTCTCCCCTGCTCCTCCTCTCGCTGGAGCCTCATCCCCCCTTCACGAAGCCAAGCGGGGGGCCTGGGGCCCCGGCGAAGAGGGGTCCGCACCGCAGCCACACGGGGCTCCGGCCACCTCTGCTCCTCTGCAGACCAGTCAAGAGGGTCTTAGGCAGGGACGGAGGCGGAAACCACAGATGGAGCGATAGGGAGGGATGGAGGCCGAGTGGTGGCCCGATAGGGAGGGGTGGGGGCCGAGCGGTGGCCCGATAGGGAGGGATGGGGGCCGAGCGGTGGCCCGATAGGGAGGGATGGAGGCCGAGTGGTGGCCCGATAGGGAGGGATGGAGGCCGAGTGGTGGCCCGATAGGGAGGGATGGAGGCCGAGTGGTGGCCCGATAGGGAGGGATGGAGGCCGAGCGGTGGCCCGATAGGGAGGGATGGAGGCCGAGCGGTGGCCCGATAGGGAGGGATGGGGGCCGAGCGGTGGCCCGATAGGGAGGGATGGGGGCCGAGCGGTGGCCCGATAGGGAGGGATGGGGGCCGAGCGGTGGCCCGATAGGGAGGGATGGGGGCCGAGCGGTGGCCCGATAGGGAGGGATGGGGGCCGAGCGGTGGCCCGATAGGGAGGGGTGGGGGCCAAGTGGTGGCCCGATAGGGAGGGGTGGGGGCCGAGTGGTGGCCTGATAGGGAGGGATGGAGGCCGAGTGGTGGCCCGATAGGGAGGGGTGGGGCCGAGCGGTGGCCCGATAGGGAGGGGTGGGGGCCGAGTGGTGGCCCGATAGGGAGGGGTGGGGGCCGAGTGGTGGCCTGATAGGGAGGGATGGAGGCCGAGTGGTGGCCCGATAGGGAGGGGTGGGGGCCGAGTGGTGGCCTGATAGGGAGGGATGGAGGCCGAGTGGTGGCCCGATAGGGAGGGGTGGGGGCCGAGTGGTGGCCCGATAGGGAGGGGTGGGGCCGAGTGGTGGCTTGGCCGACGTGCCTCGGAGGCGAGGCTTCCAGTGGGAAAGGCCAGGTCCCAGCAGGCGCTGCTCGAGCCTGAGCTCCTGGGAGAGGCCTCGGAGCCACGGTCATGCAGCCCGGGAGGGACAGGAGCGGAGGGTCCTGGAGGCATCGCTCTGCCCAGGTCCGGGCCTCACCCCCGGGCTCTCCCAGATGTCTGTCAACCGTGGGGCCGAAGCATTAGTGCTGTTTGCCTGGGCGGTCAGGTCAGTGAGCACGAAGGAGCCCGCAGTGTGGAAGCCACGCGGAGCAGCAGCCAGGGTCGAGCTGACGGCCCCAGGAAAACCTCTGAATCTTCCTGAGCCTCGGTTCCCTCCCGCCTAATGTGGGGATCATACGAACCCCCCAACCCCGCGCGGGGTTTTGTATTACTGAGTCAGTAACTGTGATGTACCCAGAAGGGCCTGATGCTTTCTAGCTGTGTGACTTGGGCTTTTCACTTAACCTCTTTGGGCCTCAAGTTTTTCCACCTAGGGAACAGTTGGTTTGAGAATGGACTGTCCTCGGTCTCTTCTCTCAGGTTGGACCACCTCTGACCTCCAGGGTTCTGTGTCCGCTCATCCCATCGACGTGGGCTGCCCCTCCGGACCTTCATCCATAGGACCTTCATCCTAACTCCCACTCACCCTATATGACCCTGAGGTGGGGTGGAGGAGGGTAGGGCCGAATGATGACGTGGCTATTACCTCTCGGAGTGACCTTAGACAAGTCCTTTCCCCTGCCAGGCCTCAGCGTCCTTATCTGTTAAATGGACAAGGCGCTCATAGCTGCTTCAGCATGAATGGCTGACTGTCTTCTCTTGTCCCTTCTCTCCGTTTAAGGAGCTCTCTCGCCTCTATTCATTAATCTAACAATGAGAGGGAACCTTTATTGCCAAGACTCTAACCCTTGCCATTTGCCTCTGTGGTGCCTACTACTGCTGTGCACTCTCTACAGACAAACTTCATAGCAAAGGCTCAGAGATGTCGAGTGACTTGCCTGAGACCACACAGCCAAGACAGGGTGCAGTTGGGATTTGAACCCAGGCCATCTGACAAAAAAGGCTTTCACAAACTGCCCTGGAAGTCTGTCCCCGCCCACCCCAGCACTGGCCCCTCCCCTAGGAGTCCCCCTCTGTCTGGGGGGGGGGGCATCACAGTAGCAGCCACATCCTGTGACGGTTTCGTGGGGAGTGCCAGCCCTCTCCCCACCTCTGGGACAGGTGAACAGAAAACGGGCCCTGCTCAGCCCTGCAGAGCATGATCCACAGTCCAGCCTCCTCTACCACCCCCTGCTCTGGGAGGGCTCAGAGGGGACCTGAGCCCCAGCCCTCACCCGAAGAAGGCAGAGCTGGGCATTGGCCACTGCAGCGAGCCTAAAATACGAGCGTCTGAGCTGGTGGAGAATTCCTCTTATGAGTCCCCTCCACGGCCTCCTCCCGATCCACCAGCCCTTTCTCCAACTCCTCCCTGGCCTGGGGTCAGTTTCCTTTCCAGGCAGCTGTGAGCATGAACCCCCTCGCCACCCCGCCTCGGAAGCTTTTGGAGGCCCAGGTGGGAACTCACTCAGCGCAGCAACCCCAGCCCCAGGGCGCCAGGGCTGGCACGGGGCAGATCAGGGCACGGTGGCACGGTGGCTGCTGACCGCACAGCCGCCTGTCTCAGCGTCCATCTCCTTCAGGGGACAGGCCCTGTATTTGTCCCTGTCTCCCCAGCATTTTCATGGCGCCAAGCCACAACAGGGTTCCCAGTTTGCCTAATAGATAGAGCTGCTCCCACCCAACACACACACACACACCCTGGGTTCTGTGAGTTCAAGGACTTGTCACTCCACACCTTGGTTTCATTCAGCAACTAGTTTAATCCCGGGATGCTCAGAACAGTACACGAAGAAGCTGGCCCTGAGCCCCCGGCCTCTCTGGAGGCTGACTGGTCATGTCGATGGTTCTGGGCACACTGCAATTCACAGGTTCATCTGGGAGGCCCCCGCTCACCCGAGCAGACAGAGGGGCACCTGGTGAGTCTCAGGGCCCCTCCTGGCAGATGTCTCTGCACTTCTGCCCCTTCAGGGACTGAGCCCCAACTCTGGGTCTGTGCTGGGACCATCTTTGTAAAATGCTGGAAGCTCAGAGTAAGGATCCGCTACGCAGGGACCGTCAGTGTGGAACAGGGCTGTGCCCCTGGTGGGCTCCGAAGGTCTCCAGAGGACCCGCTGGCCTCAGGTCCCAGCCCCTTGGTGGTGGGGGTGGGGCAGCTGTTCTGCTCACTGTCCGCTGGCTGTGCCCAGAAGGCTGGACTCCTTGTCCTGATGGAAGCCTGGATCGGGCAGTGTGCCACCCCACCCCAGAATCTAGCTGTCAGGGTGACCGCAGACTAACAGCCCCTGCACCTGGGGCCTCCTGGGCAGCACTGGGAGGGGCCGCTTCTGCCCCTCTCATTAGTTCTGGGCCTGAGCTGTCTGAGGCTTGGCACCAAAGCACCAGACACCTGAGGACTGTCAGAAGGAGTCTCAGGAGTCACCCAGTTCAACCCTTCCATGCAGCCTGCTGAGAGGTGGCCCGGCCTGCTTGCTCGTCCCTGAGACGAGCCCACTGCCTCTCGCGGCCAGCACTCTGCGCCTTGGGGCTGCTGTGGGCAGGCGGAGGGCTGTGCCTGCAGGCCGTGTGGTGGATGGAGCCCGAGAGGTGCAGGGCGTGCAGTTTCCTTCCATCTCTCTGGGGAGGCTTCTCAGCACCCGGGGGCACGACTGGGAGGACAGGGTGGGACAGGAGGAGGGCTGTGCCTGCAGGCCGTGTGGTGGATCGGCACCCGGGGGCATGACTGGGAGGACAGGGTGGGACAGGGAGGCAGAGCAGGAGCCCAGGGGAAGGGGCCTCGCTGGGACTGGCTAGGTGGCCCCGATGTCATCGTAGTCCTCGTTGTCCGTGGAATCAGGCTGGGGATTGGTGGATCCTGTGTGGCCGGGAGGTTCAGGTCAGCGGGAGACCCAGTCCTTGCCCCCACTGCCCCACGGGACAGAGCTGAACTTTCTGAGTCCACACCCCTCACCTCGTGACCCTGTGGGGTGAGGCGCATCTTGACCACTGCCGTTCCCCTCCCTGGAACGCCGGCCCAGAGGACAGAACCTTATTTTACCTGATGGGCGATGGATGCTGGGGGTCCCCCTGCCACCACAGTTCCCCCCAAGGGGCCACCCAACTGCTTCTGTTTGGATGCCTCCACTGGTGGGGAGTTTACTTCCCCTCAAAGTGTTTTCTGGATCTTTCTCTGTCCCATCCTCCATTTTCCCTACCTTCTCATGTCCCTGTTTTTTGGTTTTTAATCCATTTAGCTCTCTTCTTGTCTCCTTGGGTTGGTGGATCCAACAGATCCACGCATTCCCTCCCCAGTCCCTCTCTGTCCCCCTCCCAGGACCCCCCGCCCCTGGCACCTGGATGCCCAAAGTGCTCCGCAGGAGGGGGCTGGGGCGGCGGCTTGAAGTTCTGGTACCACTCCCCGGAAGAGGTGCTGGAGCTGTCGTCAGCTGAGGGCCCTGTTGGGAAACCCCCAGAGCTTGTCACCCTCTGCCCGGAGACAGTCCACGAACTGCCCGAGCTGGGCGGCCCTCAGGACCCCACTGGCTTGACCAGTGAGGAAATGAAGGCCCGGAGGGGGAGGAGACTCGTCGGAGGTCACAGCCGGTGGCCATGGAGCAGGGACTCGAATCCTGGACTCAGCCTGGATCCAACCTTTGTGCTCTCTCCAGCCAGGCTGGCCTCAGGGGGAGGCGGGGCCGCACCCGACCGCGGCCGCTTACCTGAAAACGTCCCCCGGGAGCCAGCCAGCTCCAAGTTGGGAGGCTGCTCCAGGAGGGGGTTCCTCTCCGAAGGAAAGCCCTGCGGGGTCCACGGAGCGGGCCTGCTGTGGGGGCTGTTGCAGTAATCCTCCCCGGAGGAGGTGCTGGACCCGCTGTGGCTCCTTGGGTGCTGCTGGGGGCCCAGGGAGGGGGGATCTGCAACACAGTGTCCAGGTTCACAGGTGGGACTGGGCGGCATGCACCCCTTCAGGTCCCGGGCCAGGAAAGGGACAGTGGTGAGGAAAGAAGGCTTTAGATTCGACTTGACAAGGGCTGACTGCCACTGGGAACTGTTCAGGTCAGGAAGGCCCTGATGAGGGCGTAGCTGCCGGAGCGTCTCCAGGTGAGCTGGGCTGCTGTGCGAGGCCGGGCTGGAATCGCGCCCTCCACGCCCTCCCCAGCCGACTCACCTTCCTCCAAGGGGGGCATCTGGAACCTGTTCTGCCGAACCTCCTCATCTGTGACTCGGTATCGCTGGGAATCTACAAACAGAGGTGGTGGTGAGGAGGGGTGCAGGCTCCATCCCCTTGTCCCGGAGCCTGGAGGAGGGGCCCCTGCCGCTGAACCCAGGGGTACGGAGGGCCACAGCCCTCCCAGGCTCAGGTCCTAGTCCAGGAAGACCCTGAACCTCAGTCTGAAACCCGCAGGGGGACAGGTTGCCTCGGGCCAGAAGCCCTAGTGCCCTGCACGCCTCACGCACAGCGCCCCTCCTGCCTCTGAAGGCAACATCCAGAGTCCTGGCCCCTCCTCAGGCTCGTGCAGATCTGGGCAGGAGAAGGCCAGTGGCCCCTTCGGGGAGCCTGCCCGGAGCGTGAGCCGAAGGGTCTGGAATCTGCATCACCAGCCCTGCGGCACCTTCGTTTCAGAACCGAGGAGACGGACTCAGGACTGGAAGGACTCAGTGTCTGGAATCTTGGAGTCAGCTCTTTCGAGCCTGGTACCACTGACTTTCAGTCTCAGTGTGCTGGGTTTTTGGACACTGTCTTTTATCTTACATGCCTGGGCTCAGGATCTCAGGTTCCAAGGACCCCTCATTCCTGGGGCTCCCAGACACGGGTGCAGGGACCAGAAGACATGGAATCATTGGTGTCCCGCCCCTAGTGGCCCTGCTTCAGCAGGTGGGGCAGACATGGCTGGCTGTCCTCAATATCCATTCTCGCCCCCAGCAGCAGGAGCCCCTCTGGCCTTTGTCGGGACACACAGCGGCCCCGGACAGAGGCTTCGTCACTCCGCCTCTCTTGAAGCTGGTGGGTTAAGCTCTGGCTAGTGAACCCTGAGTGGGAGTTATGTGGGCACCTCTGGCCTTAAGGGGAGGGCACACCCCACCTTCCTGTCCCCCTCCCCACTGGTGGCGAGCCATTCTGGACCACGTGGACGAGGGCCTCATCTTAGGAACTGCAGAGCAGCAACAGAGGAGCCTGGGCCCCAGGACGCTGTCAGTCACACACAGCCAAACTGTCACCCTAACTTATATAGCAGGTGAGGGGTGGGGGCTCAGGAATCTGTAACAAGCATCAAGGGATTCCACAGAGAGGTGCAACGTCCCGGCTTTGCATGGACCCCGCCACCCCAGAAGGCAGAGAGAGCCGGAGAAGCCAGAGGGCAGGTGGGGCTGGGCTCACAGCGGAGGCTGGCGGGTGAGGTCGATGGGGAGCATGGGAGACGGAGAGCACGTGAGTGTGCAGGGAGCCTTCTGCACTGTCTCTCACCTGACTCCCTCATATTTCACAGACACAGCACCTTTGGGGGAATGTCCAAGGACAGGTCCTAAGACCCTGCGTGGCCAGAAGCAAACATGGGAGGGAAGGAGGTTGGGACTGGAGACATCTGGAGACATGGAGATGCCTCCAGGGTCGAAAAGCATTTGGAAAACTTCAGTGTGCCACCATTTACAGCCGATCCAGGGGGGGTAGCGAGGGTGATTTCACCCTTGCTGTGCAGGGGGCGTCAGGTGGAACCTACTGAAGGTCCCCCAGGCAGCTGGGCCCTCTGATCCAGGCCAGAGGGCCCTTGGGCGCTGCTCCAGGCACTCACTGTAGAAGGTGGTCAGGGCCACAGGAGGCTGGGCGCTGAAGTCATAGTGCTCATAGTCTGAGTCCGAGCTGGAGTCGGAGTCCGCGGGGGGCGGGGCCAGGACCTGGATGGGCAGCTTGGGAACTGGGGAGAGAACAGAGTGGGGGGCACAGCAAAGTGGTGGGTGCAAGGGTGCAGGGGGAGGTGGCAGACAGCGTGGATGGCAGGAGACAGAGGCAGGGGAGTGCCAGGCAGCCCATCTTGTACCAGAAGGTCCAGCCTGGGTTTTCCAAGCTCTTTCCACCCATTTCAAGCATGGGGAACGAAATGACATTTTCTTACGTAACAAACACTTACGTAGCAGTCACCGCATGGCAGGTGCTAGTCTAACATTTACAAATATTATCTCATTTAATCCTCATAACAGCCTTGTGAGGTAGGGTACATTAGTGCCCCCCCATTTTATAACTGAGGCACGGAGGTTCCCACCTGGCCCAGAGAAGCAGGCAGTGTGGCTCTTAGCTTCCCAGAGGTGGGGGACATCTGGCCCATGCGCCGTATAAGGCCTGAGTAGTCGATACCAGCTAACATCACAGGCCTCACCAAATTAGCCTGACCAAATACAGCAGGCTCATTTTTAAGCTGATAATTGTGTATGGACCGCAAACGACGTCATAAATATCCAACGGCTCTTGGCAGAAGAAAAGATTCCCCACCCCTGCGGCATATTCAGTGAGTGGCTGGCTGCTCTCTGCCTTGTATTTACGTTCTCTTCTCAAATATATGGATACAGCAGAGAATATCAATACTATGTGGCTGAGTTTTGTACTGGTTTTCAAATAAATGTTCTTTAATATACTCATAATGCAATGTGATTAAACTCCAAAACTGACTCCTTTGCAAGAGTTCCAAGAGGTATACATCCATACGTCCTAAAACATGGATAAGTGATCCAATTTTTGCATTCCAAAAACATTAAATAAAATTATGTTCTGGGAAAACCTTGACGGGCTCTGCAGGGAGGCTGACTGAGCAAGCCATCGAAAGAGGCAGTGATATCACAAACTACTAGCCAATCAGCAGAGCCGAAATTTCCAATGAGAGCAAGGTCCAAATGCCCTGGGCCTGTGTTGGTCCAGAACTTGAGAGCCTAGGGTCCTAGGATGACTGCTAGAGGCTCACGTGCCCATCGAGGCCCAAACTGAGACTTGATGTGCTCAAGGTCCCATGCCACAGTGGGCTGGCCCAGGTCTCATCCCTGGCTGGGGCACTGCTTTGATATGGCCCTCCAAAAGCATCCCCTTCCTGTCCTCTCCAGCCCTCCTCACCCCAGGGTGGGTCACATCCTACCTTCTTCTTTGGGGATGGTGATGGGGACCTCTTGATAGCTATTGATCCCTGCTGGGGTGGTGGTGGGTAGGTGTTGATGGTTCACCGGAGAAGAAAGGGCTGAGGGAGGGGAGGGAAAGATTCTACAAGTCATTTTTTGTCCCCTGCCAGTCTGCCTGGTTCTGTTCTCACTGAGACACCTCCCTCCTCATCCCCCCCACCAAGCACACACACACGCACACACAGTCTGATTCTCCCGTGGGGCCCACGTTGGTCTACTTCTGCTGAGCATGCTGGGAAAATCCTTCTCACCAGGGGGTGCTCCCCGGTCCAGGGCTGGGTGACCATTGCTGAGTCACTCCTCCTGCTGGGGTCCCCCAAGCTCATACCACCCAGGGAAGGTTGTACCTCAGGCCTGCTTCTTCCCATCCCTGGGCCTTCCCTGTGGCTCTGCGAATTCTGCACTTACCATATTTTCCTTTGATTTTCAAGAGGATGACGGTGATGATGGTGACTGAGCCAAGGAGGAGAATTCCCAGAATGATGCAGGGGATGAGGAACATTAGCTCCCGAGATGTCCAGACCTCCATTTTCACATTCATGGAAGGTTCTGGAAGAAAGAACCTCAAATCAGGGAGAAAGAGAAACAGACATAGACTTCTCCTTGCCCTTCTTCTTGCCTCTCCAACCCGTCTACCGCTCAGCCACATTTCTTTGGACCTATCTTCCTCTTCCCGTTTTTTTAAAAAAAAATTTCTCACCTTCTTTTAGGTGCCTAGTATACAGTAGGTGCTCAAGAAATGCTTCTTGATTGAATAAGTGACGGAGGGAAACTTTCTCCTGGCCACCAGCCCACAGGGATCTCTCTCTGCTCAACCATTATTGAGCACCCACTGTGTGACAACAGTGTCACAGGCCGTCAGGGTCTATGTCTAGTGGGGTGATCAACAAATCAACTCAGTCCAACACAGTGAGATGCCTGCTGTGACGGAGGTCTGGATGGGGGCTTGGGGGGTGTGAGGCCCTGGTAGGGGTGCCTGATTCTCTATGGGAAAGATGATTGGCTTCCCAGAGAAGGTAGCTTTGAGCCACCTCAGGAAGCATCACTCATGCCAGGAACTCCCTGCCTAGACTGAATAATCACGAGAATGACTGATGACCAGATAGTGCTTACTGTGTACTGATCCCTATTCTACACGCTTCATAAAAATTAATTCACTGGGGATTCACAGCAACACTAGGAAAAGTGTGATGGTTATCAATCCCATTTTATAGTCAAGAAATCTGAGGCTCAGAGAGGTTAAGGACTGCCCAACATCACACAGCTAGCGAGAGTCACAACTGGGATTCGAGCCCCAGGAGTCTGCCCCGAAGCCGGCCAAGCTACACACTGCTGGCGAACAGAGTTCAGAACCTTGGATGCAAATTCCAGCCAATACTGGCTGGCTGTCACTTCACCCTCTGAGCCTGGCCTCCTTCCTCTGTGAAGGGTTATGATGAGCTCTCCCCAGCAGGCTGTCAGGAAGGTTAAAGGGTTGGGAAATAATGGTTGCCATGTGCTGGGCCTGCGCCTGGAACATTCTAAACACATTGTTACCTCAGTGTCCCCACCGTCTGGCCCGTGCCAGACCAGCTCAGCTCTCCAGCTCTATCCTCCTGCCCTATAGATGCTCACAGGAGAGTGGGGAGTGGACTCCTGTCCACAAAACATCAAGACTCGGGGAGCTGTGGAGCTGATAGGCAGGAAGGGGAGGAGAGAGGGACACAAGGCACCTGGGGAGCCTGGGGGAGGCAAGTCCAGTGTCTGGAGGTGGGCGATGGGGAACAAACCATCAGGCCCCACCCAGGCAGACACCACACACACACAAATGCACATATGCTCCTGAGTCTCTGAGACACTGTGTATCCATTGACACTCACCTATGGTGACCGGCTGGACAGTTGTAAGAATTTCATCAGTGGACGAATTGAACCGCCTCTGGGAACCTGTCAGGAAGCATCACTCATTCACTTGACACCTACTGTGTGCCATGACAGACAAGGGACCTGGGACTGGGGGCACAACCCCAGGGGGCACGTGGCTAAGGACACCTGTTTTTCCTACCCCCCACAATAAGGAGGAACATCATAGAGTAAATGCTTGGAAGGTCCTTTGCTTAGAATATGAGGCTAATACAATAATAAACTCTTCTCTATAATCTGCTACAGATCACAGATCCCCTTTCCATTCAGTCAGGTGTGTTTTTCAGGTGGGCCTCCGGAGGTGCGGAGCTGACACTCATCATTGTCATAAGCACTGGACAGGTAAGGGATGACAAAATCCCAAAGTCCCATGGTGATGTTCTCTGAGTTCCCAGCTACCCTGGGAGTAGCTGGTATCAGCATCCACATAGTCATGAAACCGAAGCCTGGCTGATCATTGGCAGAGATGGAATGCATAGCCAAGCATCTGAACTCCATAGACACGCTAATACCATGTTTCTTCAGGTCTGACGCTCTCATGTTTTTACACCTTAACACCTCTGAAATCAAGTGATGGCATCAATCATTACAACTGATGGCATGTCAAGAGTTTGTTTTGGCAGTATTTTTGTCTGTCATGGTGCATAAAATAATAATGGTGTGACAGACATATCAATGCCATCTTAGATTTGTTAAAATACGGTAGAATCCAATTCATAGAGTGGAAGTGAGGCTTAGCCAAAATAAGACATACCAAGTGCTTGGCAATGCCTGGTACATGATTAGGGCTCCAGACACTGTCACTGATATTATTATTAGCGTCTCCTAATATTTTTACTATTATCAGCAGCCCTGTGATGGCAAGTTGGTTTCATCTCCTGAGCCAACTCCAGTCCACAGAAATCACGTATTAGCATATAATAAATATTTGATTCATGATTCTGAGGCTGAGTTGAGGATTTGTAGAAAAGATGCCCTGACTAATTAGCGATGTCTGCCTGGGCATGCCAGGGACAATGGTTCCTCTACTGCCAGTGTTTGTCATTCCTGATCTAGTCCAAGCTGTGGTACTTGGGTTGCAAGTTCTTAGGCTGTGGATTCAGGTGCAAATTCTGGTTCAAATCTGAGGTGAAGGTGGAGAGGGGTGAGTGGGGGAGGTGTACCTGAGCAGAGGACCCTGGCTGCCATTGACTGGCTGCAGAGGTTGAAGTTGTTGAACCTCCAGGAACAGTTTGAGAGGCTAGGTTCGTCTCCCTTGCATGAGTAGTACATCTGGCCCGACAGAGAGTGGGGTAGCCCCTTGGGTCTTCCGGTCATTGTCCCACAGCCCAAGGTCTTGCAGAGTACATTGGCCTCTGGTTCGTACCACTCACTGTCACACACTGTGTTCCAGAGCCCACGGAAGTATACCTCCACCTGCCCCTCACAGGGGTCAATGCCCCCGGTCAGGCGGAAGGACTGGTGCTCTGCAGGGGAAGGGGAAGAGGAAGGGGTGGGGCAGAGTCAGATCAGGATCCTTTGGGCCCAAATCCCCACCAACCCAGACCCACAATTGGAACACCTCACAGCCAATTGGTCTCCACTTGTAAGCTCTCCCTTCAGCATCTGCACCCTCCTCTCTTCTGCCCCATCTGCTCTGGCTGCAGTACCCTACATCCTTGCTACTCAAAGTGTGGTCCATGAACCAGCAGCATCAGCATCAACTGGAATTGTAATGGGAAACGAATAACCCATACTTATATAAATTTACCCATATTAATCTTAGTAAATGTTAGGCCCAGCTTGTTACTCTAACCTAATTTTTCTTTTAAAACTAGAGCTTGCATGTTAGACCCTTTTGTCAGTATAATTTACAGTTTAGCAGTTTCAGTTTCTGAGTTAAACCAAGGAGCAGCCTGACCTCAAGACTTTGAAATCTTGATGGCCAACTCAAGGACACTGACCATGAAAATCCACACTGGGACTAGCAAGATATTGCCTGCATGTCCACAGACTCTCCCTGTCTTTGTTCTACTTTCCCTCTCCCTCCTTATGAAAACCTCTGCTTGCATGCACTAAGATGTTAAGATGGGCTTTGGGATAAGAGTCCTCCATCTTCTCAGGTTACTGGCACTTGAATAAACCTCTTTTCTTCTCACTAGCACCTTTCTCACTAGTTTGGCTTTCCTTGCGACAGGCAGCCTAACCTGGGTTTGTTTACAGAATCTTGTTAGAAATGCAGAATCTCAAGTCCTGCCCCGAAACTACTGAGTCAGAATATATATTTAATGAGAACCCCTTCCCCCTGCCATTCTTTGTGCACATTATAGAGAAGCATTGGCTGGACCTGAACTTCACGGCTTCATCTGGACTGCCAACAGCCTCCTCAGGAGCCTCCCTGCCTCCATTTCCCCTTGTTGCTCTGAACCAGGTGACCACTCAGGAAGAGCCTCACTCTAAGTCACCTCTTCCAAGAGGTGGACACGCTGATCCCTCCAGCTCTGGATTGTCTGCTGCCTCTAAACCTCACCTTCTTTTCTTTCTTAGGGCATTTACCACTTATTTCCCAAGGGTTATATTTTTCTGGCTCTCATCTTCCCTCCTCGGCAGTAACAATGAAAGGACGGGGACAATCTCTCCAGCACTAATGCCAGGCCTGCCCACCAGGTGTTTAGGCCTACACTAAGTTTTGGTGGAGGACCAAGGTTCAGAGATGTTACCCACTGACCTGAGCACACCACGCCAGCATCTTCCTTGTGGCCACAGTAGCCATTTCCTGGAACCCCTTGGCAGTCCCACAGGTAGGCCTCGGACCCAGAGCAGTTCACCTCATCCCGGTGGATAGGTCCTTTGCCAGGGGTGAAGTGCAAGCCTGGCAGGGCCTGGATGGCCCAGCCACAGTGCAGCTGCTTGCACACCACGTGGGCATCCTTCAGGTCCCACGTGTCATCACACAGAGAACCCCACTGGCCATGTTCCAGCATCTCCACTCGGCCGGCACATGGGCCGCCACCATCCACCAATCGCAGGTCACGTTTCTCTGGGGCTAGGAGGGGAAAGGGTTTGTGGATGTGTTTCGGGAAGAGGGAGAGAAAGGGAGGGGATGGTTCAGTGGTTGAGACTGGGCCAGATAATTATGAGTGGGGCTGCAGACCCAGTGAGAGGGGCTGTAACCCTTTGGGCAGGGTGGGGGAACCCTGCAGGGATGGGGATTTAGTACACTGAGGTGGCGGAACTGGTCAGTACTAGGGATTCAAGGGACAAAGCTGGATACTTTGTAGGCAGGGCTGGGGAGGGTGCAGACTAGTGGGTGGGGTCAAGCACCTGGTGGGCAGGCTTGAAGAGCAAGCCCAGGCCTGGGGAGTGTCAGTGCTAAGGGACCCTGGGAACCTGGCATATTTATGTACATTGTGGGTAGGGGCGGAGATAAAGGAGACAGAGTTCTAGAGCAAGATGAGGGACAGGACCAGCAAGTAAAGCCTAGAGACCCGTTAGGATTGGGGACCTAAGGGGTTGTGTTGGGGATCAAGTGGGCCAGCTGGAGATCTAGTAGGGGGAAAGGTCTGCAGGCCAGATCTGAGGAAATGCTCAGAGCTGGAATGATACAAAGCTGCAGTCTTAGGGCGTGGAAACCAGTTGTGTTTGCCTTGGTGTTGGATGGGGGTAGACATCTGAAGGGCAAGGCTGTGTCCAGTTCCCAGGGCTGGGGACAGGAGTGAGGGGCAGTGGCTGAAGGCCGGCGAGGTATGGGGGGCCGGGCAGGGGCTTAGCTGGCGGGCGCAGGGCGCGGTCTGCTGTACCTGCACAGGTGACCTGGACGGGCCTCCCGCCGCTGGTGCATTCTTGCTCCACCACCTTGCAGAACTGCCATTCAGGGCTGCTGCACAGGATGTCGGGCACAGGGGCCTGCGTGGCGTTCAGTGTCCCACTGGCATTTCCCACGAGTGGCAGCTCTGCCGGGCCGCAGTTCAGCGCCTGGCACACGGCCTGGGCGGCTGAGGAGTTCCAGAGTGCCCCACACGGGGCCTCCCAGGACTGTCCTCGCAGAACCTCCACCATCCCGCTGCAGCGGCTGCTTCCGTTCACCAGGCGAACGCGCTCCCCTGGAAGCACACGTGGACTCTGCCCATGCCAGGAATGTGGTAGCGGCAGGCGGCCACTAGGGGCCCACCGCTGACCTGCTATGTGACTTTGGAGAGTGCCCTACCAGACTTTGGGCCTCAGAAGTTGGCATCCCCAAGCCCCCCTGGAGGCCGGACCCTCTGGGTCTCCTTAGAATCAGGAAGATGGGCTGAGGGTGACTTAGAGGTTAAGCTGAATTAGGCCTGGAGTGACAGAGAACCAGGGATGCAGTCCCCACAAACCCTCCTCCTCTCTTGCCCTGTCTCAAGAGCACCCTTGGGTGAAAGAAGGTCAGAGTTCTTGGTTCAGATCCCGCCACCCCCCCACTGCAGGTGCCGTGTTTCCCTCCCAGGCCTCCCCACTGTCCTAAGGGTGCTAAGTGCAGTGAAGGGCCCCTGTGACCCTAGAACCCCGCAGGACAGACAGATGGGTGTGGGGTTGGTAATGGGGGGGAAGAGGTGTGGTGTGCATGGTGGTTCTCCATTCCCCAGTGCCCCTCCTTGGGGAACCACTGCCTGTTTCTGCCCAGCATTGCACCCCAGTGTTAGTACACAGCTTTACACAGAGTAGGTCCTTTATAAAGATCTGTTTAGTTAATGTAGGAGCCAGCTGGTGGAACCCACCCCCACACCCACCAAGGCTTCTTTAGCTTGTTCTCAACAAATCCCCTTAAAATGTTCATTGACCACCTTGCCACGTGAATGTGACTTTATTGGTGGCCTCCAAAGATGGTAGTTCTAAGATCTCCAAGTAAGTCTAATGTGGACCTTCAGACATTGGGTTAGGAAGGAGAGGTGCTGTCTGAGGTTAGGGAGCCTCCCTGCTACCCTAAAAGTCCCTTTCCCCTTCCTGTCGCCCTGGAACACCACCTGCTTGGTCTCAGAAAGCTGATCAGGGACTCCAGAAAGATCATGTCCTCACCTGGCTCCAAGGGCTGGCTCTCTGCCTCGGTGGTGCTGGGCTGGTCAGATGGGGCCGGAGACGGGTAACCTGAAATCAACCAGCAGCAGCCATGGTGGGTGAGTGAACTCAGGCATGGGGGGCACAGGGGTGCCTTGATGGGCAGGGGGCACTTTCTGGAGGCTGCTGTGGCTCTATGGGACCTCTGGAAAGCCATTGTCCTAGGCCTTGGGTGCCTTTGCCTCCCTTCAGGGGAGGGCAATTTTCAAGCTTTGGAGTTGCAGCACCCCCACTTCATCTATTCATTGTGCGCATGTCCTCAGAAAGCACAGCAGATCGCAGAGGAAGGACTAGGCTGTGGGGCTGGGACGACTCACTGGCTGAGTGACCACGGACAGCTCGTCACTTTCTCTGCCAGAGTCCCTACTTGTTGGCGATAACACTTGGGAAAATATCGTGGGCTAGAAGGATACCAGATCTGTAACATACCTGACATACAAAAGAAGCTTGAAAATGGAGTTATTTTTAGGAAAAACCTGTTTGTTCGGAAAATGTGTTTGAGAGATTCATCCTGGGTTGTGAAGCATTTGACAGCAAAACCGCTTTCTGACACTGAGAAATTAACATTTGCTGTGGACTAATTATGCCAAGTTTTTGCATGTATTACTGCATTAACCTTCACCACCACAGTGAGGCAGGCATCAGCATCCACTCTTCACAGATGAGGAAGGGGGCACAAAGGGTAGAAATCGGTTGCCCGTGCCACATAGTGTGCCTTTGTCCTCCCACAGTGCTGTCCACTTGGCCATGGGAGGCTGACCTGTTTGGTCAGCATCTTCCTGGGCCCCCTGGCTTCTGTCCTGCTCAGCCAGTGGGAGCCCTAGCAGAGACAGGAGGGAGGTCGTGGTGACTGTTTCCCCGGCTCCCTCCTGGTGAGATCCGAGCAGGCTATGTTCCCTCAGGGTAGCCACCTCTCCTGGACCCTCTCCTTCCAGGACTCATGGACCCCTCCCTGTCTTGTGTCCGTGGACCAGGGCAGTAATAGTTCTGTTGCTCTGAGCTCCTGCTACTGTATCATCCTCTGTAAACAGTGCTTTTGTTAATCAGCCCCCATCAAACTTCTATTTTGAGTGTGCCACCTGTTTCCTGTTAGGAGCCTGACTGATACATGGCCTGAGACCACCAGCTACAAGGGGCAGAGCCAGCATTGGAACTGTCCCTAAGAAAGAGGCTCCATGCCGGGAGGGGACATTCCAGTTTGCAGGAGCATGAAGGGAGAGCTGTGGCAGGGACCACTGTGCTCACCGAGGAACACTTGCACATTTCCACGCCTCATGTGCTTGGGTTGGGGGCCACTGAAACCTCGGCAGGTGGGCGTGTGCCCACTGCGGGGCCAAGGTAGGTTAGAGGCAGGGAGCCTCCTCCGCCTCTTTCTTCTCTGTCGTAGCTGTATCTGAGGTCCTGGGTTCCAGATGCCATGACGAGATGAAGGGGTTGTTGACCCACCTAGAATGTTGTGTAAGAAGTGACCCTTTATTGTGTTGAGACATGAAGATTGGGGGTGTGTTTGTTACCACAGCCTGGCCGACTGGCCCAGGAGCTGCAGACGCAGGCATGCCTGCCGCGTGTTCTCGGCCTCATCTGAGAAGATTCCGAGGGCTCCCACCCAGATGCGCGTGCACGAGCGTGCACACGCCGCTGCAGACACTGCTCTCTCACGAGCATCGTCGGGGCCACCCCATCACTCAGACAGAAAGCAATCGGGCCTTTGATTGCCCATCCTCACCAGCTCTCTGCTTGGCTGCCCAGCCTGGTCCCCGAAGGAGAAGTGATCCAGAATTCAGAGCACAAACTCTGCAGCTAATGAAATATTCAGAACAAGAATTCAGATGCCCTTAAGTTAGGATTTTGAAGTCCCGGTTCCCACGGCAACAGTCCAGCGCTCCAGTGTGTGTGGTTCTCGATATCTCCATGTGTGCTGGGGAGATGGGGGGCTTGGGATGCTGGCTGCAGTGGGTGTGACTGCGGGGTGTGTGTGCGTGTGGTTGTGACCATGTGTGTACCATTGTGTGCATGTGTTTGTGTGTATGCATGTATGTGGAGGACTCCAGCTGAGCTCTGTGTCATCTCTCTCTGGGTCTGGGAAGCCACTTTGTCATGCCTAAAGGCACATAGGTCTTCTGCTAGACCAGAAAACCCTGGAGGGCAGGGCTCAAGGCTGAGTCACTCCACGGGGTGCCCAACACAATGTTTATTGACTGACTGACTGACTGACTGACTGAAAGACGGAGCAGAAGCTGTCAGCTCCAAGGACAACTGTCGCCAAGGCAGTTTACTGATACTAGATGCACTCAAGGGCGTCTTTTCTGTGTCATAGGCATTCTGTCCCCGTACCAGGTTGGAAACCTGGGTTTTGTGTTCTCTGATTTCTGTGCTGCTGGAAGGGAAGCAGGAGCTGCCTCCCCCTCCTCCATCCAGGCCCCTGCTCATGGAGGCCCAGTGCAGAATCGGGGCCTCCGGGCTCCACCCTTGTCTTCAAACTGCATTCACTTCTTTGCTGCAAGAAATGTGTTTGAAAAGGAATCTTTACCCTTCCCTGGGAATCGGTGTTACTGCATGAAGTCGCATGAATGTCAAAGTATTTGTTTCAGTTCTGCCCTGGCAGGTTTGATTCAGCATTTAGAGTGTCGGCCCACGGACCAAAGGGTCTCGGGTTTGATTGCGGTCAAGGGCACATTCCTCAGTTGCGGTTTGGTCCCTGGCACTGGTCGGGGTTGTGTGGGAGGCAACCAATTCATGTGTCTCTCTCACATCGATGTTTCTCTCTCTCTCTCCTTCTCCCTCCCTCCCACCCACTCTATGTGAAGGTAAATGGAAAAATATGCTTGGGTAAGGATTAAAAATATATATATTTGTTTCAGTTTTTTGAGGAGCAGACAGTCAGAAACAGAGGAGTGCCCATCACGCATCAGGTAAACACACAGCTGTGGTCCGTTACAGCAGCCCCGGCGCAGAATGAACCAGACTCGCAGCAGCCGGAGGCTTCGCACGCTGTGCTGAGCAAGGAAGCAGGATGCAGAGAGGAGATCTAGTATGAAACAACTTTTTAAAAAACATTGTCCAAAAAGAACCCCTCCCATAGACTGGGTATGATGTGTGAACATGGGGAAAAGTATGGAAGAACACAGATCATTAACATGGGAAAATTAAGAAGGTGGGTTTCAGGGGAAGTCAGAGCAGGGCCAGCTTCATGGATGTGTGACCGTGTAGTCACGGGGCTTGGCGCTGAGAAAGGCCCAGGCTTTCGGTTTACTGTTCTGCTGTCTCCATTTTGAAATTCTGAATAACTTTTGAACAAGGGACCCTGCATTTTCATATTGCACCAGGCTCTGCAAATGAGGTAGCTGGTCCTGGGGCCAAGTCATGAAGGTGGGAGAAGAGAGGAGGAACAGAGGAGAAACAATGAAAAAAAAAAGGCCCGGCCGGTGTGGCTCAGTGGTTGAGCACTGACCCGTGCACCAAGAGGTCGCCAGTTCGATTCCCGGTCAGGGCACATGCCCAGGTTGTGGGCCCGATCCCCGGTGGGGGGCATGCAAGAGGCGGCCAATTGATGTTATTTATCATGGATGTTTCTCTCTTTCTCTCCCTCTCCCTTCCTCTCTCTCTAAAATCAGTAAAGAAACAAAAAAATTTTTTTTTAAAAGAAAGAGATAACCCTGGCCTGTTTGGCTCAGTGGCTGGAGCGTCAGCCTGCGGACCAGAGAGTCCCAGGTTCGGTTCCCGCTAGGGGCACGTACCAAAAAAAAAGGTAAAAAACAAAGAGATAAAAAGCTATACTTAAAAAATCATGTATAATATGATTCCATTTACAGAAAATTAGATACATAGGTAGACATGCAAAAACTTAGAAAATTTAAAAACACAAATGGACTTGTATTGTTTGCCAAAATAGAAGGCGAGTGAAAAAATAAGTATACTAAAGATTAAGCCAGGTTAGAAATGTTAAAATGCTAAAAGACACATTATTATCAAATAAAGACAGAAAGAATGATAGAGCATTGAAAATAAAATAATTAAGTAGTTTTCTTACTACGTGGTTCCGTGTTATCCAACGTAAAACACACAACAAACGAAGCCCTTTTGACCTGGTAATTCCACTTCTGGGAACCCGCCCTAAAGAAACAACCCAGAATACCCTTCAGAACCGGAAATTTCCAGGTTCTTTTCTCGCGCTGAGCCCCTTCCTAACTGTGTGACCCGGGCAAGTCGTTTAACCTCTGAGCCTGGGGTGCCCCTCTGTAAAAAGGGAGCAATGAGCACCCATGTGGCAGGCTCGTTGTGAGAATTAAATGAGATGATGGACCCAACACCCTGGGGCCGCGCCCTGAGCTGTGGCGCTGTCAGAGCTCCTGGACATGTGGTTTCTAAGACACCCAGCCCAGCTGGCGTGACTCGGTGGGTGAGCTTCGACCCAGAGGTCACGTGCCCAGGTTGTGGGCCTGATTCCAGTGGGGAGACATGCAGGAAGTGGACAATCGATGTTCTCTTTCATTGATGTTTCTATCTCTCTCACCCTCTCCCTTCCTCTTTAAAAATCAATAAAGAAAAAAAAAAACCAAACTGGAGAAAACGGAATTATCTAAAAGCAAGTGGGGGAAAACACCACACATTAGGAATATTTGCAAAAATATTTACAAAGAGTAAATAACCCCACTAGATTCTGAGCATCTCACTGGTACCCTAAGGCCCACATATTCCCAGTGTAGTGGTCTCCTCAAACAGCCCAGCTGCTCAGGGGCACTGGTAGGTGTGCCCCTCTCCAGGACCGGCACTAGGGCCCTGACTGCAGTGCCCGCAAGCTTTGGGAGACCAGAGCCCTGCTGGCCTGGAGACCACCACCGTCTGGTTTCCGCAGACCAGCCTTCCGTGGCCTGCGCAAGGACAGCAAAGGCTGTGAGGACGCTGGCTGGCCTGCCCCCAGGGTCTTAGCTGGGGCCCTGGATACTCAAAGGTGTCAGCGCTGGTTCAGGGAGCTGTCCAGAAACATCCACGGGGCCCCAGCCCTGAGTTTCAGGGGGCGGACTGCCAGT